CAAAATACCTTAAATTATATAAATAAGGATATTGTAATATGTGTCAAAAGTATTTCGACAATTACTAATAATTATCTCGAAGAAAATGGTTTGGTAAGTGATATCAAAAAAAACATAATAATACTTTTAGAATGCTTAGATTACAGTTTCTTAAATAAATGTGGGATTCATGCAGATGAAAACAAAAACCATATTAAAAATGAGCACATTTTGTATTGTGATAAAGCGGTATACAATATTAACAAACCGACAAATGGAGGACGGAGAAAAAAAGAAATCTTTGGAAAGAAAAATTCAAATATTAAGAAATAAATAATTGATACTACTCTAATACTTAGAAGATAAAAAGGCTTGGGAATAATCTGATTCCACATTTTTTTTGTATATGAGTTTATGTAATCGTTAATGTATGGTTTGCATTCTAGTAAGCTTGTTACCTGTTGTCTGGCAATTCACTTTCCACTATTCAAATTTTGCTGATTCATTTTTAATTATAATTTTTTTTCTTTTCCCCTGACAATGCATTGACCTAATATGATCATATTACACGAATATACTACAAAATGTTAGAAAAGTAATTGATTTGACATAGGCTGTTACTATTATTTAAGTTACTTATATTTCCTTTTAACAAAGTATTTTATACTAAGTGATGACATGTAATTATTCATTTCTTTCCTTTTTTTGACATTTAATGTTTTATTTTTTTATTTTTACGTACTGACATGATTACCAAGTTTCAAGTAGATATATTATTTTTATTTATTTTCTTATTGTGAATGGGTGAACAATGTGGGTTTTATTTAGTTTTGTTGTAGATGTTACCTTCGTCTGACGGTTTGAGTATTATCAGCGGCCTACCCAAATGTCCTTTCTGATGGCGTGTTCGTTGGATTGTTGAACTCCTAAGTTACTGTTGAGTTAAATGAAGACCGACAAAAGTAGCCAGCTGATTGTCTTGATTCTTCTCAAGGTAGTCAGATAGGAAATACCAGCCTCATCTGGTTTTTAAAAGTATTGACATGTTAAAGTGTTTTGTAAAATCCATTAACAGAAATAAATGATTCGATTTGATTTGATAAAATATATACTCTGGCTGTTTCGTTGGCATTTATCTTATACATTTCGGTTTGCATTTACTTGGTTTGTTAAGTAAATATTCTCTATGTGCATAATTTTTGGGGTAATGGGTTAATTTTCTTCATGTAATTTATTATGTTGCCTGTGTGTGTGCCTCAGATATTAATAAACCAAATTGTGAGGAATATAAAATGCACAAAAAAGATTCCTGAAATCAGAAATACTTATTTGATTTATTTATTCAAAGCGAAACAAACTAATAGGTAGTCATATTAATACATGAAGAATGTAAAGGTTAAATTAAACTCTATAACCCCATTAATGACAGTGTAGAGAATTATACTTAGTAATCCAAGCAACAATAGTTCATAGCAAATTTGAATATTCCCTCCCGTATTTTTCATCTGGTGCTCATTCACAGTGGCGCAATGAATAAATCTATGGTTGATTTTTTTTACTATGAAGACGTCGTTCTTCTCTCGGATAGAGAGTACTATATTCCTTGCTAGTGATAGTTGTGCGTAATAACCTCGAATTGACAGGTAAACAAACTTTTTGTACTTCGTAATAAATTGATTTAGGATTTATTTTTTCGCTAAATTTAATCAAAGTTTATCCTAAATGGAACTGTATTTTAAACTATTATACTTGTTTGTAATTATTTTGACTAATTTATTTTCTGTAATTGATGAAATATAAAAAGTGACCTTGGGGCTGAAATTAACAAATTGAGTGAGGTCAGTATTAACATGTTAATACTTACCCCATATGTAGGTATGTGATATTAAACGAGTGTTTTTTTTTTTTGCAATAAGTATGTTTTTTTATAGAATTAGAAATTACAAAAGGAAGAGTACAAGGGGGTCTACGTCTCGAAGTATTTGAGCTGGCAGCTGAAGAAGTTCTGGTAAAAAACAAGAAATATAGAGATGTTGCTACTAAATACAATATTTGTCATGTAACACTGTTTAAATAGGTTAAGAAAAAAAAAGGAGGGAACTTCTGTTGAAGTGGGTTGTAAAACAAACTATCTATTTTTCAATTCTGAGCAAGAAAAAATGATAGCTGATTATTTAGTAAAATGAACTAATATTTATTTTGGATTGGTACCAGACAATGTCAAAAATTAGCTTACGAGCTTGCCATTCGATACAAGATAGATAATATTCCAGAATCTTGGAAAAGAGACGGAAAGGCTGGCAAAGATTGGTTTGCTGGTTTAATGAAGCGCACCGCATTCTTGTCTATAGGGAGTCCTGAGGCGACTAGCTTAAGCAGAGCAACATCCTTCAACCGTACTAATGTTCATTCATTTTTCCAAAAATATCAAGAAGTGGTTCAATGATACAATTTTTCACCGAGTAGAATCTGGAACGTAGATGAAACTGGAGTCACAACGGTGCAAAAACCCAAGAAAGTGGTAGCTCAACGAGGTTCCAAGCAAGTAGGTGCAGTCACATCTGCAGAACGGGGTACTCTCGTCACAATTGCAGCAGCGACAAATGCTATGGGTAATTTCATACCATGTATGTTCGTTTTTCCACGGATCAGATATAGTGGTTTATTCGTCCAAAATGGGCCGCCCGGGTCTATAGGCGTAGGAAATAGTTCCGGATTGATGACTGAAAAAGAATTTTCAATATTAATTGACCACTTTCTAAAACATGTTAAAACATCAGAGCATGAGCCAGTTTTATTGCTATTAGATAATCATCATTCTCATGTGAATGTGGAGGTCATCACCAAGGCAAAAAAACCACATCATTCTTTTGTCTTTCCCTCCACATTGTTCCCATAATCTTCAATCTCTAGATGTTGGTGTGTATGGACCGTTTAAAAATTATATTAGCTGGCAGCAAACGAACTAGATGATTAATAATCCTGGGAAGACCATGACGATCTATGATCTCCCTGGAATTGTAAAAGAAGGATTTTCACTGGCATTCACTCAAAACAATATCATTAACTCATATAAAAAAGCTGGGATTTGGCCGTGCAATGAAGATGTCTTTCAAGACAGTGACTTTGCACCATCATTTGTTACTGATCGTCCCGATCCAAATACTGCTTCGATGGGTAACCAGGGATCACTTCAGCCTGGAGATAGTTCTGTCAACCCAGAAAAAGTATCACTAAATTTAGACTCTGAAATCCAAAATGAAATTATAGATAACATGCTTGATATACCTCAATCTCTGAAAACTAAAATGTACAACCAGTGCGTGTTGCCAGTGATGACTTACGGATCAGAGACGTGGTCCTTCACTGCTGGCCGTATGAGGACGCTCAAGGTCGCTCAGCGAGCTATGGAGAGGGCTATGCTCGGAGTTTCTCTGCGTGATAGTCTCAGAAATGAGGATATCCGCAGTAAAACCAGAGTGACCGACATAGCCCAACGGATTAGTAAGCTGAAGTGGCAATGGTCCGGCCATATAGCTCGAAGAACCGATAACCGATGGGGAAGAAAGGTTCTCGAGTGGCAGCCTCGTACCGGTAGGCGTAGTGTAGGGCGACCTCCCACTAGATGGAGTGACGACCTGGTAAGATATGCAGGAAGTCGATGGATGCAGGTGGCTCAGGACCGTGCTTTGTGGCATTACTTGGGGGAGGCCTATGTTCAGCAGTGGACTTGTGAAGGGCTGTGATGATGATGATGATGATGCTTGATATTGACATAAGTATTTCAGAGGTTATTGATCAACTATCACACGTACCATCAAATAAGCAGCGACCGTCAAATGAACCAGGACCGTCAAATACAAAGCCTACAGAAAATTTTAATGTAGAAACAATAAGACCGTTTCCAAAAGCACCTCCTCGTGTCGAATCCAAACGGAAGCGTTCAAGGAAATCGACGATTCTCACTGATACCCTGAAAAATTGGCCTTAGAGGAGGAAGCAAAATTAAAATCATCAAAAAAGACAAAAACTAGTCTGACTGAAACTAAAAATAAGGATAAAGGCAAAGGAAAAGTAAAGGTAAAGGCAAAGGAAAAGTAAAGGTAAAGAAACGCGGAAAGTAGAAGTAGAAAAGGTTAAGAAGCATATTCTGCAGGATGTTAGTGAAAAAGAAACCTACTTCTGTTTAGTATGTGCTGAGTCTTATAATGAAGACACATCTGGACATGACTGAATACAATGTATTTTATGCAAAGGATGGGCTCATTTCGCCTGTATTATAGGTGATACCAGAAAATACATATGCCTCAACTGTTTCTCAGATGATGAGAAATCGTATTCTGATTAATTATTGCCTACCGGGCTAGCATGGGCTGGGGATGAAAATTTTATCCCCCGATTATATCCACTGACAAGGGATAAAATTGTCTTATCCCTATGCCAAAGCTATATCCACCCTGCGAGCATGGGCCTATGGTGGATATAATATCGACAGTAGATAAACTTATCCCCGCGCATAGATAATATACCATAGTATAATATAAAGCTATAAACTATAACCCTTTCGCACCTGGCTTAAACGATAGTGAGTTCATATTTCTTAAAAATATGTAAGCGCGGGAAATCTGTTTGGCCGCACGCGCCCGGAACCACATAATCGTGCGTTGGTCAAATAACCAATCAAAAATAGTTTCGCGGCATTCAGGGGTCAGTGTCGTCGCACGTGCGGCCAAAATGGCTGTGTTTCTCGATCCCGATGCTAAGCGTATTTGTATTATTTACATGTTTTTTTTTTATTGATTTGTTCATGTACATGTGTTATTTTCATTTTTATTGATCTATAAATCAATTAGTATCAACGACTTAACCTAACTTAAAGTATCGGCCCATTTGATTAGTGGCAAAATAAGGAACTCACTTACGTGAGCTCTCGGGTTTATTTATACCTCCTCACAAAAATGAGTTGCCTACATTTACTGTTTTTTATTAAGGTTAAATGGCTATTTTTATATTTTTTAGGTATGCCATTGAATTGTGAGCTTGTACTTGACCTATTTAATAACGGGAAATGCTCGGATATTGATATTGATGAGGCCGACGAGGATTTTTGTCCACAACCAGGTGCTACTGAAGATGATGCCCATGAAAAGGAATCTCCTCCCTCAACAGACTCAAAAAAGAGTTATTCTAGTTTAGTTCGTAAAGAGCATGAAGGTGATGGTCCATCAAAAACAAATAAACAGAAGAAAAGTAGGTAATTCAAAAAGAAACCTAAACAAAACACACAATTAAAAGTGAAGTTTGGACAACGTCGACGCATTTGGAAAAAAAGTGATTATATTGATAAGCCTCATAATTATCCCGGCCATCCTAAACCGGACAAAGTTCAATCACCAGTCGAATATTTTGGTGCATATTATGATGAGGATTTTTTTCGAAAACATGGCTCTCTGCACTAATCTCTATTACATGAGACATACCGGCAAAGTTTTAAATACTAATAAACAGGAAATTAAACGGTTGTATGGAATTCATCTGTTGATGGGTATTCTTTCTTATCCTAGATATGCCATGTACTGGCGCAGGAATATAAGCATCAATATAATAACTTCTGCAATGACAAGAGACAGATTTTCTCTTTTGTGAAATAATTTACACGTTGTTGATAAAGATACTGTGCGAGCAAGAGATGTAGGAAATCCTCTCTGGAAAATACAACCAATTCTCACAGCCGTTAAAAATGGCTGTGAAAAGATATTGCGAGCTCCAGGTAGGTATTCAGTGGATGAGCAAATGATTCCATTCACAGGAAAATGTCATCTTCGGCAGCTGGTTAAGAACAAGCCCCGGCCCGTTGGCTTAAAAAATTTTGTCGTCACAACCAGTGAAGGGCTGATGGTTGATTTTGAGATATATTACGACAATAACCCTGTACTTGCTCATCCACTAGGCCTTGGACCTGCAGTTGTTCTTCGGCTCATACGAAGTGTTCCACGCGGAAGCTGCATTTTTTTCGACATTTATTTTACGACCGTACCTCTACTTGATACCTTGTCGCAGCTTGGTTTTCACGGAACCGGAACCATAATGGCTAATCGCGTGCCAGATCGAAAGGAACTGAGCTTAAAAGAAGACAGCAAAATAAAAAGAGGCGAGATAGATCAAAGAGTTTCGGGTGATGTCGCCTTGGTCAAATGGAAGGACAGCAAGGCAGTGTTGACTGTTTCCAATTGTGCCGGTGGTACAGCTATTGAAATAGTTCAGCGCTATGACAAGAAAGAGAAATGTTACATAGATGTAGACGCTCCAAAACTGGTGAAAAGTTAATTTGTTTATGGGTGGAGTCGACGTCTTGGATCAGTCCATGGAGTACTACCGTACTTATATAAAAACACGCAAATGGACACTCAAAGTAATACTCCATTTCATGGATTTGGCTGTAGTGAACGCATGGCGCTTATATAGGTGTGATTTGTTAGCCACGGGAGTAGCAGGAAAAGACATAAAAGACTTACTATCATTCAGATTTGAAGTGGCTGAAAGATTGATAAATACTCCCAATAGGGAGCAACGCGCATCATCTCCAGGTGATCCCATAATACCTCGATCTACTGCAGGAAGATACAGACCAGCAAACAATCCATCACAGGGAAAAAGGTATGACGGGTACATGCACTTACCAATTTTCGACAAATTGAAGGACCCTCGCGTTTGTCGGTTGGAGAGCTGCAAATCACAAACTAAAATCAGATGCCGAAAATGCGACGTATACCTGTGTATGAGTCGCGGTAAAGACTGCTTTTACCTCTACCATGTTGATTCCTAAAAGCTAGTTGAGTACAAGACTGATTATAAAATAAGTACTTAGGTAATTACTAAGATGTTAATTTGGATCTCATTTTATTTTTTGATAAAAGAACGTTATAAGTACTGTCGGAAAGGCATTTTGTTTTTTAAATGTTTACTAAATAAGGCGTTTTAAGATTATCCCTTTCAGACCGCTCCAATACAGTTGTGCGGGTCACAAAGTCGAGTATAGCTCATTAGTTTTACGTTGGCAGTGGACGGGCCCAGTATTGTACGATTATGCGGGAAGCAAACTTTCACCTCCCGCGCAAATTTTGTCCGACGCGCAGTCTGCGAGCAGGTTTCAACCTGTACACTTCGTGACTGATTGCGCTCCCCGACTTGGCAAAAGTAAGTACCTACTGTTGTTTTATTTTGAAAGTGTAGTAATATACGAGTTATTGATTAGAAAAATAGTTAAACATAGGATGTTTTTGTGATAACAGTGACTATTGGCAAGCAAACGCTTTGGCTTAACGGATTAACGAACTTTATTGACACAATTGTTTCAACGTGGGCCCTACATAACCTCATGCGTATTTTAAGTTTCTAATGATTATTCATTTTTCGCAGTTTGTGCACTATGTTTCCACTTTTAAACGACGCTGCTATCGAAGAGATGCTTTATGACTCTGGGGACGAGGGCGATGACAACGACGAAATCGATACGGACTACTTTATTGAAGAAAACCCCGAACATTGAAGTTATTCTTCTTTTGATGAAGGCGAAGAAAATGATGACGATAACATACCTTTGAGTATGCTAGCAGGATGGCAGAAGAAGCCTTTCAATGGCAAACCTCTTCCAGAAGATGCTTGTCGTGACCCAGGAGATATTAAAACCCCATACGAATATTTCGAGCGCTATTTTACTGACGAGCTCATGGAACAGATGGCTTTGACCACAAATCAATATTATATGGCCAATACTGGTATACAAATGAAACCTATTTGTTCTTTACTAGATATAAAGAAGTTTTTCGGAATACATGCCATTGTTGGGTGTATAAAATTTCCAAGACTGAAGATGATTTGGAACGAAAAATACAGGTATGACCCGATTGCAAATGCAATGTCTAGGGAACGGTTTTGCCTTCTCAGGACAAACTTGCATTGTGTAGACGTGACAGCGGTGAATCAGACTGAAGAACAAACCAAAAATAGATTATGGAGGGTGCAGCCTGTCATTGATGCCGTCCGAAAAAGGTGCCTGCAGTTGCCAAGAGATGCTGGTAACTATTCAATCGATGAACAAATGATACCTTTTGAAGGTCGATGCGATTTGAAAGTAGTCGTAAAAAACAAACCTCGTCCAGCAGGATTGAAGAATTTCGTTTTAACTACCTCCAAGGGACAAGTTCTAGACTTCGAAATTTATCAAGGCTCTACTACAAACTTACCCGATTCGGAGCATTTCGGAGTTGGTGCTGCTGTTGTATTACGCTTGGCCAATACACTCCCAGAAGGCAGTTTTATTTATTTCGATAGGTATTTTTCCTCACTGCCGTTGATGAAAGAGTTAGTTAAAAGAAAAATAGAAGGAACAGGAACTTTGATGGCCAATCGATTTAATACTAAAAAGAAAACGCTCTATGAATTCAAGAATAATAGGATGGCTAGAGGAGAAGATGAGGAGGTTGTCAACAGGGAAAACACCTTGAGCGTCATAAAATGGAAGGACAACAAAGGAGTACTCATGGTCTCAACTGCTTTTGTAGCAAAGCCGCGAACCCAGGTGTCAAGATGGGATAAAAAGAGGAAACGGTACATGGAAGTCTCATGTCCAGCCATAGTTAAAAATTACAACACTTTCATGGGTGGTGTTGATGTTTGCGACCAGATGATGGAGGCTTATCAAACATGGCGTAAAACCAGTAAGTGGCCTGTGAAGGTGATCATCCACATGTTTGACCTGGCTATAGTAAATTCTTGGTTCGAGTATCGTGCTGACTGCAAAGCCCAGAATCGAAAATCTAAGGACATCATGGATTTGCTGGCGTTCAGGTTATCTATTAGTGACCACCTTCTAAATGGTCCTCCAAGAAAGAGACCAAGGAAAGATTTGGAATTCGCTGATATGCTTACCTCTTCTAAATACAGAATGAAGTCTCTTCCCACAGTCGACCGACAGTACGACGGTTTTAATCATTGGCCAGTCTTCGACACTCTGAAGCAGCCTCGTTGCTCTCGTGCTCCTGGCTGGACTAGTCGTAGTCGTTGTCGTTGCTCAAAGTGTGATATTTACTTGTGCCTTAACAAAGACCGCAATTGTTTTTTTTTTGATTTTCACAACAAAGACTGAATTCAATTAATACTATTATTAAACTTTGAGAAAATTGATCGCATTTCATGTTAAGTTGATCTCATTTAAAGCATTTGTTGATTATTATTACTGTAAAACTAACTAAGTTTGTTTTACGTGTAGTGGCTAGCTAAACTAAGCACTAGCTCAAAAAAAATGAAATTGTCATTCACTTTAATAGTTAAGAATACATTGATTTATATCCATGTTACTTTTTTCCTATTATCTTTATTTCATGCCCAAACTGTTTTATTCTATATTTGTTATAACATCTCTGCACGTTGTTAATTTTACATATTAGATTTAGTATAGCTATAAGGTCCACTTTCTTATTATCCTATTTTAATTTTGCAGTCTTCTTTCCATGTTACAAATTTTACTTGTCAACGCTAATTTAGTTGTAATATCCCATAGATATAAGAAAGAAGTGAAGTGTAATATCGACTTTATATTTTTAATTAATTTAGTAAACTTTATATAGCTGATAAGTTCTTTTTTGTGTATATACTTACCTTTTTTTCTCTCTTTTAACATTATTAACGTAAATGTTTAAATTATTATTTCATGCCTTTCCTTTAATAATGTACAATACATTAAATGTTACTAATACATTACTGTGGCGACAAGAGACTACTGTAAATAATTAATGTAATAGTGTCATTGTAAAGTAGTAAATTGTAAATTAAAATTTATATAGACAGTGTGCTAACTATAGAAACTATACTAAATAATTATATTAATTACTTATGTTTTTATTTATATTTTAATTTGTTTTGTTTTGTTTAGTTTTAAGATTAAGTAGATTTACATTAACTTATATTTTCTTTTACCTTTTGTTTATTATATAGCTAAACTGTTAATAATTTTTGTTAAACAATATGTCATTTATAATAATTGTTATATATAGTTTAAGCATATTTCTGCCTTGTTTTTATTTTTTCTATTATTCTAATTCTTTTTTTATTTACTTTTGTATAATATTTAAGTTAAGTATACATTGTTTGTATCAAATCGCAGGCAATCTGTATTACTTCGCTTGTGATTGCATTTATTATAAAATATGTGTCTAGAATTAAGCCAATTGTGAAACTGGACAATATAGACCCTTTGGAGGTGGTGCAACCTCTGGAGGAAATTAAAAAAATCTTATCCCCGCAATTACTGCCATTATAAGAAAATTACAAAATACATCAAAACTGATGTCTACTCTAAAGTCACAAAGATGTAATTTTAATTGAAAATGATTCGATGATTGACACATATCGATCGCCGATGTAATTTTCTTTCTTGTTTTTCTATTTCTGACACGAAAATGTAGTTGCAATAGGCTCGAGACATCTTTTTTGTATTAAAATAGTTTGAAGATAAACTTAAACCCACGTCCACGAAAGATGATAAAATTGTCCCTTTCAAATGTCAAAAAGGGATATTTTTTCTCTTTTCCCTTGGCCCCATGCTACGGACGGGGCGGGACGGGGAGATATTTGTCCACTCGTTATGTCAAACGGTGATATACTATAGAGATAAGATAATTTTATCTCTTGTCAGTGGATATAATCGGGGGATATAATTTTTGTCTCCTGCCCATGCTCGCAGGGTGGATAAAACTAAGCAAGGGATAAAATATTTATCCCTTCCTCGGGGATATATTCTCTCCTGCCCATGCTAGCCCGGCTGATATGAAGTACCTATTTCCTGTCTAAGTTTAAGTACAAATTAGTTTAAGACTGATTAAACTAGTTACCTTATTATTTAATTATTATATTTAAACTATTTAAAAAAATGTTTGTAACGAATTTATAAGATAATACTATTTTTTTTACTTCATTAAGAAACTTAAAGACTGTTCAGCCTAAAAAGTTTAAGTAACTTTAAAACATTAAGTTTAAACTGTGTGTTTAATTTTTTTAGGCTTAAAAATATTCAAACTGTAGCAATGATTATTATTAAGTGTAGATTTAAAAGAATTTGTTATATTCTTTGAGTTCCTATCATAAAAAGTACTAATTTTTTAACATTAAAGGCAATAAAACATTTTCATTAATGTCAGTGACATTTTATTTAAGTATTTGATAAAATTTTAGTCTCTGTTAATAACCGCCCCTTACGTTAATACTTACCCCAGCTCCGTTAATATTCGCCCCACATGCGGGGTATATATTAACAAATGACTTTTTTTGTTTTCATGGCTCTCTTTCTGGACGCACTTACATACCTGATGATTTTTGTTATTAATATCATAGCTGATTAACCAAAGCATGTTTTCGATAAAAAATAAAATGATAAAGTCTATTATCAACGAAAATATAAATCATAATACAAAATTTGATAGTACCAGCCCCGCTCTCCTCTATACACGAACTCAATATTACTTTACTCTATGCATGAACTGTTACAACACAAAGATGCAACAAAATACGCGAATAGTTTGAAATTACAAAAAAACAAAACTGACATCAATGTTTACCTCAGCTTCCAACTCACAAGATACAAAAATTATAGCTAAAGCGGGTGAAGTAAAAATGGCCTGCTTTATTGCTGAGCATAATCTGTCTTTTAACATAGCATCTCATTTGAATAAATTGATTTGCCCTGTATGTCCAGATTCGAAAATTACAGAACAACTATCAATGAGCCGCACAAAAGCAAGAGCTATTATTGTTAATGTAACTGGGCAGACAGCAGAAAAACATATAATAGAGGTGTTACAGAACAATTGCTCTGCATTACTTGTTGACGAAAGCACAGATAAGTCTACGATAAAACATTAAGCGCTTGTCGTAAGAATAGTACAATTAGATTTCAGCGTTGAAGATAGATTTTTTCGGTGGGTAGGCGTAAAGTGTTTTGTCATATTTAAAATCATTCCTGATTTTTTAAAGTTTAAAAATAGTAAATAAGGAACAATGAAGTATATAAATGTACCTATAATTACATAAATCCACCAGCATTGTTTACTAATAATTTGTTTTCCACTGTGCATAACTTAAAACTTATTATGCCACTTCACTGTCACCTGACATCGACCTTTAAATAACCTTTAATATTCATCATAGATTCGCTTAAGAAGTCAATTGAAGAGCTAACGCTGAATTTCACTTCACGGATAGATGAGTTCCAGAGGGAGGTCAGAACATCCATCCCTGCAACAAGCCCTTCTTCCAACATTAATGCACAATTTAATGCCTTTAGGGCATTTGTCCTGTCAGCACTTGAGAATCTGCAACTTCAACTCCAGCTTCTCTGTAGGAAGTAAGGACCAGGAGGAAGATTTTGCTTGTCCATGGAGTGCCAAAAACCCGAGATGAGAACCCAGTGCATTGCACGAGTAAGGTATTATCGGAGCGGCTGAACATCCCAGAAATAACTGCGGGCTCTATTACCAGATGCCATCGCTTAGGGCTCCCCCGCAGAGACAAGCCTCGTGCACTGCTCGTGAAATTTCGAGATCAGGATCTCCATGACAAAGTTTGGTCTTAAAGGGTAGCGGAGTTACTCTATCTGAGTTTATGATTAAGGGCCGTCATGAGGCGTTCGTTGCTGCTCGGAAGCGTTTTGGTGTTTCCCAATGTTAGACACGAGATTGATATGTTGTGGTGCTTGGGTCCGATGGCACGAAGCACCGGGTGTACACCGTGCCTGAGGTGATCGCCATTCCTGATGCAGCTGGAAGTGTTCCTACTAACTCATCCTTGACTGCAGCGACGGCGGTGGCGGCATCTTCGGCTCCCAAGCCCTGTGTTACTACAGGCTACAGCTAGGGCTAGGAAGACGACGAAGAAATGATGGCGTGTTTCTCATGTAGTTTCAAATTTTCTTTTCTTTTATTCATTTACTCCAGCAGCTCAATTCATATATTACTACCATTTTTTTTTCTTTTTTTTTTTTTGTAACTTTTGGTTATCAGGTATTATCAATATTATCCTTTGCCATTAATTTGTGTTTGATGACTATTACTCAAATTATTTTAATCATTGCACAATCCAGGTAGATTAATTGTAATTTTTTTTATTTAATTTTTATTTTCTGATATTTATTGTTTTTACGTTTAATTAACTTTATTGAACTTTATAAGTACTTAAAATTGTAATTAAATATGTTAAAATCATAAGGTTATTTAATTAAAATTATAATATTTAAGATTAAAACTAATTATATACAATATAAAAGAAGAAACTATAATATAGAAAATCTAAAACTAAAAATTTAAATCGTCAAAAAGACCTGCTCCCCGTGGCAAGAACGCTTGCTGCGTTTCCTCGCTGAATACCAGCCCTCTTATCACCAGCAGCGATTATTTTTATTAGTTAGACTTCGTTATTAGCGCGCGTCAATCACACTAATGGCTGACTCAAGGAACGGACGACATTTAAGAATGATTTAAATAAAATATACTACTAAAGTGTATAAGCTGTGGGGTTTCTATGCTAGCCTTTTTTATCCTGTACATTACTTGCTTACATACATTGTTACATACATTGACATATGGTAGAATGTAGAGTTAGAAATAGCGCTAAATGCTTTGTTTCTTCATTAAAAGAGCGAGTACAAAATGTCTAACACTTGGACGCCCGCAGTCAACGGAGATATTTTCGTGTCCAAGTCTTGGACATCCGCAATTGAGAGGATATTTTAACGAATCTACACTGTGATACAGCAAACTTTTGACTGATTAGTGTTTTTATTTTGTTAAAGATTGATGTTCAAATAAAATAAAAAATTAACCAGAAAAATATGTATTTATGACGTCTTCACAATAAGGTTTTGATTTATTTCAAGGCTAGGTTGTACCATAACTTCTTCTTCTACAATAGCTAAAGGCATTTTGTCCTCAATTAAGGTAAAGGCACCAGTAATGGACAATGAACCAATAATGGACAAAAAATAAAGTAATCATCTAGAATAAGAACATAAATCATTTTTTTATATTGGCAACATTGTGATATAGACTATAGACAACTAGCTGTCAAAGTTTAACGTTTTATTCAATTCGGTTTGTCAGATAGACAAGATGGCTTTATTGTTTTATTTTTGATATTACGTTTTACAATTGATATTAGCGATTTTTCTTAAGGAAATTGTTAGTGCGGTGAGTAGAAAGTTTTATATATAAACTGGTATTGCTTTATTTTAATCAGAATGTGTTTTATCTGTTGGGTTAACTATGCAATTAAGACGACAGCGCACATTGTTGTAACTCCAAAGAGGTTATGATTGTTGATATTTTATTGATGTTTTTAACTGGTGCGTTGTAATTAAATGGTTCCAAAAATGGACAGATGTCGAAACTTAAGGCGCTGTACATAGTCAAAGTAAGCTTCAGAAAACATTTTTTAGGAAAATGTATACATTTTAGAGCTGCAAAAAAAAATATTAATCTTGATCTTATATACGAAGGGATCATTGTGTTGAAAACACGTTTTCGGTAAATTTTCTCGATAGAAAAAAATCATAAAAAATCCATTAAAAATGAAATTATAGCAAGTTTTATATGTCAACTGGTATTGTTTTGTTTTAATCAGAATGTGTTTAATCTGTTGGGTTAACTATGAAATTAAGACGACAACACACATTGTTGTAACTCCAAAGAGGTTATGATTGTTGATATTTTATTGATGTTTTTAACTGGTGCGTTGTAATTAAATGGTTCCAAAAATGGACAGATGTCGAAACTTAAGGCGCTTTACATAGTCAAAGTAGGCTTCAGAAAACATTTTTTTAGGAAAATGTATACATTTTAGAGCTGCAAAAAAAACATTAATCTTGATCATATATACGAGGGGATCATTGTGTTGAAATCACGTTTTCGGTAAATTTTCTCGATAGAAAAAAATCGTAAAAAATCCATTAAAAATGAAATTATAGCAATTGTAACTGGATTATTTATAAACAAGTCTTGATAAAATTAATAACAGTGATGTAATGTATAATAATAAAGGGAACTGTTGTATTTATTTATTAATTAAAATAAGATATTTTTAACGAAAATGAAATATCGCGCCATCTTGACGTCTTTTCGCATCTCTTTCATTTCTACGCGGAGCGACACTGACCGCTGAGGCACGTCGCTAGACGGACCTGTATCGCTCGCCGCTCAAAAGTCATTTACGTATCTGTTTTGTTGTTGAAAGCTGTGTATATTTTATTTTGTGATTAGTTTTTTCTAAGTTGTATTGTCGGTGTAAAGTTTTGTTCGGTTTCGGTTCTAGTGATAAGTTTGTAAATATTCAATTAGTTTTTTCTAATTTGGTCTAAACTTTTTTCGATTTCGGTTTTAGTCATAAGTTTTATAAAATAAACAATCAGTGTATGTATACATTATAAAAATGGGCAACAAAAAATATACGCAGGGTCATAAAGAGATCTTATTCGATGAAACAAAAACAAATGATAGAAATTGTAAAGTGTAAGTATCCTACGTTTTTGTGCATATATATCTAATTTTGGTTACATAGATTATCTATACATTCGTAATTTCGATTACTATATCAATAGTTCGGTTAGTTTAACGGAGCCGCGCATTGAGTTGGTTTCTTGCGTCATTGTGTGTAGGTTCTAATCCCACATACTAATATGAATTACTCTTTTTGCTGATTTTCTGTAATTGTTTTTTTTATTTTATATTTTTTTATTATTTTACTTTTTCTCGATTTTCTTGTTTATAATAATTTTTCAGAAATTATTTTTTCTATTTTCTTATTTTCAATACAATCGTAATGCAATTTTATTGTTTTTTCTTTTTAGTAAGAAGAAACGGTTGGCGTGCAATCCGTTAGCAGATGAATCATCGGAGAAAACTTTTCATGAGTAGGCGTTTACATACATGGTGTTACAAAATATTTGTAAATTATCAACTAAGGACTACTTCGCAAAATGACTAAGTGGGCTTAGGCGCAAAATGATAAATTACCAACACGGCCTCAACATTTATAATTGAATAAATCGGCATACAAAATATCCAAATGCCAAATGAAAATTACTCAAAATTCAAATTGTTGAAATTCATTTTCTCAAGAAAAGACACATGATATAAAAATAACTATGTATTTCAATTTAAAAATTTATTTGTTTCAATTTTAGATTACAAAACGATTCTGAGTACGAAAACCCAATTACAAATTATGATAAGTAAGCATTCGTACACACCGCGTAATCGCCATGACTTAATTTTTTTTGTTTTTAATTAAATAAAAATTAAATTTCGGTTTTTTTATAACAAAGAAATCACTGACGATGTGCTATTGGTTGAACCGTCGACGGAATCTCAAGAACCACCAGTGCATGGTCGAAGAGTCGTTGACATAATGTATTTTATCCAGCAGCTGCGAATTATATCCCACCATAGTTATTTGTACAATTGTAATTTCTCAGAAATGTCACTCATAGGGAAAAAAAGGATTGGCTTGATCTCCAAATTTAAGTTTAGATGCAATATGTGTAAAAACGACTTTATTGTCACAAGCGAAGATTTATCGAGTACACATAATGTTAATGCTAACATATGTGCCGTTACAGGAATTACTTCTGCTGGTATCGGTTTTTCGCAATTTGAAGAAATTACAGCATGTATGGACGTACCCATATTCACGAAAACAACTTATGCTAAAGTTCAAAACAAAGTTTATGAAAAATGGGAGTCAGCATCTGTAGAGTCCATGGCGGCAGCAACTCTGCGTGAGTGTGATGCAGCGATAGCTGAAGAAACATTGAGCAAAGATGGCATTCCTCTAATAGATGTATATGCCGACGCTTGTTGGTCATCGCGATCTTACGGCAATAATTATAAGGCATTGTCCGGCGCTGCAGCAATCGTAGGTCGCAGATATGGTGAAGTGTTATTTTAGGCATTAAAAACAAATACTACCTCGTATGTGCTCGTGCAGAGAAAAAAACATTGCCAAATCAGAACACGTTTGTTTCAAAAATTACACGGGGTCATCTAGCGGAATGGAGTCCGAAATAATTTGCCAAGGGTTTGAAACATCTGTATCGATGTACAATGTTATTTATGGTAGGTTAATTGCCGATGGCGACTCGGCTACATATGCGAAAATCTTGGCACGTAATCCTTACCAGAATCATACCGTACAAAAAGTTTAATGCCGAAACCATATGCTTCGCAATATGTGCAATAAGTTGAGGGCTGTAGCCAAAGACACAAATACGCCTTGGTGCACAGAAAGATGCTAACTGAAACAAAAATTCTGAGTATCCGAAAGGTTGTTATTGCATCAATAAAAAGACAGAAAAAGACAAAATTAAAGAGAATTAATTTCTCTATTCGTCGAGGATACCGCGCGCGTTGCAATGCTGCAGTCGTTTCTTTTAATAACACCCACCCAAGGCATTTACTTCATAAAAATTTTTTAGGAAAAAGTCCCAAAAGCATCCTTAAAACGTTTGAAGAACGAAGACTGATGAAAAGAAAATTAAATAAAGCAAATCCTCATTAAAAAAAATCGGAGGCTAAGGAAAGAATATACTGTTCAACACGATTATGGGGCTCAGAGTACTACTCCAGATTTAACACTGGATGAATTAAATGCCGCTAAAGAATCATTTCTTCAAAATCTAAACCAACTTACTTCGGACAAGGAAAAAATACAACTATCTACTATAAATCAGAGAGATAGCGATGACTGGGTAGAACTAAGAAAAATATGCTAACGGCATCGAATTTCGTAATAGTAGTAAAAAGAAGAGAGAGTACTAGCAAATCCAAGTTAGTGGAAAATATTTTATATAAATGTAATCTCAGTAATATAGCGGCAATCGTACATGGCATCGAAAATGAACATCTCACTTTACAGCAACTTGTTATTCAGGAAAATGTCACCATTGTGCCGTGCGGGTTGTTCGTGGACTACGAATTTCCTTTCATTGGAGTTACGCCCGATGGTCTGATAGGCTAAGACACAGTAGTGGAAGTGAAATGTCCTTCAGTGGCATTCAAAAAGGATCTAGAAGAGTGTATAAAAGAAAACAAGATACAGATATGGAAATACAATAAAAAGTGAACTGATCGAAGTGAACAAAAATAGTAATTGGTACCATCAGATTCAAGGGCATCTCCACGTAACACGCAGAGAAAAGTGCTTGTTTGCTCTGTGGAGTGGCGGAAACAAGCCACTGAAAACAGAAATTATAAAAAGAAATGACGATTTTCGGGAAAAAAATATGAAAGAAAAGCTGGTGTCGTTTTTCATGGACTGGCTTTTGCCTGAAATAGTCGATTCTCGACGAGCGCGTGAAATGCCACTGCGAGAAAAAGAATCGTCTTTAGTAGTTACATCAAATGACGACCACAAAGAAAATGTCCCTTGTTGTAGTCGAAGACTGAATTTTGAAGAATTGTGACTTGAGTAATTTTTATTTCCAGAGGTAGTTTTAGAAAAAAAGTGATACACACTCTGTAAACACCAGGAACAAACACAAGCTAGTGATATCAGTTTTGCAACTCCAGAGTCAGTAATTCATTCTTGGGGAAATATATTCGCTATTACAAAAACGTCTCAGAAAATATACAAGGTCTCTCTATCGCCTACCAAGTTTAAATATCTAATTAATTAAAAAGTGTATAAAAAGGGTTATTATATGTAGTATAAATGAATACATGTTTGATAATAAACCCTGGGAATGAGGTAGGCGCTTCCAATCTGTTTATAAAATAAATTTTGTAAATAGTTTGTAACAATTCATATAGTAAAATAATTTTTTTTAAAGTTCCGCTGGGTTTCTTGCTGTTTCTTCCTAGGACAGAGGTTTTTTCCGAACCAGTTTCAATAAGAATTATATGTGATCTACATTGAATAAAAATTATTCTATTTGATTTTATTCTATTCGATTTTAGGGTTAGCACCATAATAAAAGTTTTTCATAACGATGTGTACAATGTCTGCCTTTGATATAACTACAATCTTTTGTAACACACTATATGCTGTTATTTTTCTCCTTAATCATCGATCAAGCTTGGTGGATGTTTTTATCTTATTTTTATTATTTTTATCTTGATTCTAAAGAAATATATATCTGTAGTAAAAAACTATATGTTTTAATAAATACACAATTTTGACAATTAGCCATTTCGAGAATAGGCCATTTTTAGATTTGAACTTTCTGCATCAAAGCCATTTTATTTATGAATTATTTATTATTCGTCTGAGGAATCTTTTACATAATTTCTCAATAATCTTTTCTAGGAAATAGATCATTTATTTTTAAATTAAGAAAATAATATATGTACGTATTTTAAAAATAACAATACGAAAATATGTTGGTGTATAATATTTTCCAAATAAGAAAACAAAAATATAAATATATTTTAATAATGACAACATTTTAAAAATACGAATACAAAAAATATGCGCGCCATGAGATTCCAACTGCCAATCACCACGGTAACGCTGCGCGATTGCACAGCGGCGCTTTGGGCCAAACATACATTACAACTTGTTTGCGAAATTACGCTTATATGTAATAGACGTCGCGGATCGGCAAGATTCGCCAGTGTACCCCACAGTGGGCGAGACTACTCGTGCGACTTCACCCCCTCAAAGACATAAAAGTCGTCTGTTCACCGCGTCTTAATATCATCTTGATATATTCATATTTTTAACTTATTTTACTATAAATATTATTATTTGCTATAAGCTAGTTGTAAATTTGAAAAATACTGATGTATACCAGTAATGGATGTATGTGTCCATTATTGGATATTTTATATGAATCCAGTTATGGACATTGATAAAAATGATACTTATTCTTTGTTTTAGAAATGGCTCCTAAAAAAGATTATACGCCTCAACAAATGGGCTGGGCTATTGAGGCAGTAAAAAAAGGGTTAAAAATATCCGAAGCAGCCAAAAAGTTCAATGTACCAAGAATAACCTTGCACAACAAAGTTAATGGTAAAAGTCCGATTGAGTGCTCAATGGGACCCAGCACCATTTTAAGTAAGGAAGAAGAAAACATTTTAGAAATCTGGATCAAAGAAATGTTAGATAAACATATACCCGTAACAAAAGAGGATTTAATGGACAGTGTCCAACGAATAATAATCGACAAAAAGCAAGAAACCCCTTTCGAAGATAATAGACCTGGCAAGAAATAGTACACACCTATTCTAAAACGTTGAAAGGGTAGCTCAAAATTTGTGTACAACAAGGGACAATGTTACCCAAGAAAACATAGAGAAATGGTTTTCGGAAGTAAAGAGTGATCTCAAAGACAGAAATCTCATTGACACAAACACAACAACCTGAAAGAATTTTTAACACAGATGAAAGTGCATTTTTCTTAAATCCAAAACCAGGACATGTTCTCGCTAGAAAAGGAGATAAACATGTGTATGCTTCTTCAGGCGACGATAAAGAAAATTTGACTGTTCTGATTACAGGAAATGCTGCAGGAGAGTTGGCACCTACTCTGGTAGTATATAACTATGCAAGAATAACGTCATTAGTTTCAGAAAATTTTCCCGATGACTGGGCTATTGGTCGTTCAGAAAGTTGATGGATGTGCTCAGGGACATTCTACGAATATACAGGGTCATTTTTAATTTACTGAAGACCTTTTGGGAATAATATGGTGGCATAATTACAAACGATTTTAGTGAGATCACTTTACAGAATGTAATACATTTACATAAAAGCTACATGACAACTTTTAAGTATGTATTTTTTAGTACCTAAACAATTTCAGAATACACAGTCACATAAAATGCCTTTTTTATTTTACACTTGATATCAGTATCACATATCGTGTTGAAAAATCAATATACATAATTAAATAAGCAAATAACATTAAAAAATCACAAATATTAAAATGAGCAATAGGTAATTATAAAGTATGACCTCTTCGACGCGCCGCCGCACCGGTGGACGCTCGCGCTCAGCTGATTGTGTCGCGAGTGCCTACTGCCCACAGAGTACTTTTTTATACTGCCTACTAAACTATTCACCACTGTGCCTATGGTACCAGGGCGCCACTCCAAATGACAAATTTACATTAACTTTTCATATACTCCTTTTTTGCATAAAGCAATTTGATTAACTATTTGATTATTTTATTAATTTGTTTACGAATTTATAGACATTTTTAATAAACATTTAGGTAGTTTGTTACGATCACTGCTTGCCAATAATGCTGCCTTCGGATGGCAATGCCGCCTCCGGCGGTTAGCAACGTCTCAACATCGCACGTGCGGCAGCCCAAGGCCAAGCCAAAGGTATATTGACGTCGATATAGGCGTCATCAAAGGCGCCGCCTGTCCTTTTCGGTTCGCAGCACATGCAAATTAAATATCGAGTATTATTAGCTATTTTTTATTTATTAAATGCAAGTTGTATTTAACAAATGGATATATTAACAAATATTTATAATGATTAAATACAGATATTAACACACATTTTACACCAGTAATTGAATAAAAATATTTAGGTAAAAAGGGTTCAATAAAAATATTAAAATACAAATTTATACATTCGAATTAGAGATACTCGTCCGCGGATGGTGGTGAGTATCGCGCACATAGCATTCAAAATAATCACCTCCATATTCTATGCATAGGTGACACCTAAAAGTTAACGGGTCAACTTTTATCTCATGTCGGTGAATCGACATGAGATAAAAGTTGAGTATTCATTTTGATTTGATCGAATGCCCAAATTATTTTTTCTTTCAACATGTCGCGGGTTTCGAGTGTGCGACCAGTATACACTAATGTCTTTACATGCCCCCCACAAATGAAAATCCATTGGTGTGATATCTGGCGATCTGGGAGGCCATGCACAAGGCCCGCCACGTCCGATCCAGCGTCCAGGGTGTTCTCTGTTTAAATAATCCTTAATGGTGGAGCCACGTGTTTAAGGCTGCCGAAAATCTAGTTCCCCGGTCAAACCTCAAACCTATTACGCGAGATATTAACTAAAGTGGACTGTATATGCGATTGCTTCTACGCTTACATAAGGCGACTACTATAGCATGCGGTACAATGCACTCGCTCTTCCCTAAACTAAACTATTACTTGTCGAATCGATGAAAGGAATCCTGCTTGACTAGGAAAAAAACACAGATTGGAGCGGGTTAAATTATTAGCAAGCAGGTATAATTAAGGAGTATTGACTCACCGGGGTTTCTTCTTCCTGTCGATCACTATAGCGGCGACTTCTGGAACACTCCGGAGAGAGGCGGTGCGCGACGATATCTCACACGAGGTGAGGCGGGTTCCTGGAGCTCGACTGCTTCCAGGCCAAAGCGGTTTCCACTAGTGAGGTGTTTCCAAACGAGCGCGCGGGAAGAGGAGGTTGTAGTTCAACGACGACTGCGGCGGGAGAAGAGGCTCGCGCATCGGTCGCGCGTGTCTTATATATCCTCGGCTCGGGTGATTACGCGATGTTCTAGAATCGTCTTCTTTCCCCTCCCACCCCACCACCCCGATGTGTCGATAGGAGGGTACGAATGATATTGTTTGGAAAGGAAATAATGATTCTACAAGTTCCTACCGTCAAAATAAAAAAAACGCGAATGGTTTTCCGCGCAACCATCTCCCCCCGCCCTTGAAGGATTTCCTTCAAAAAAAAAATAACTAAACAACTAGAGCTAAGATCGACTAACAAATAACTAACTAACGCTAAGATTACCTAAATTAAACTACAATTTCAGTCTAGAAAGCTAATTTAAATTATGGAAGAGGCAAGGGGCACAAACGGATAACAGTACGTAGGTAAGACCCAACCGTGGTCTTAACGCGAGCTATCCTAATTACTCCGTCGGAACCGGGAAAGACCTCCTCGACGATTCCTAACGGCCAGTGGAGAGGCGGCGTATTCTCCTTAGTGAGCACAACTACGGTTCCTACAGCTAAAGGCTCTGTCGCTGTGTTCCATTTTTGCCGAGACTGCAAAGTATGCAAGTATTCCATCCTCCATCGTTTCCAAAACGATTGCACTAACCGATCTAATAATTTGTGGCGTGTGGAAATGCTAAGTCTGTTCTCATCCATATCCGCGGCGGGCAGATACCTTAGAGGCGTTAAAGTCAAAAAATGTGCTGGAGTTAGAGCCAGCGGTTCCGAGGGGTCACTAGATAACGTCCGACAAAGTGGGCGGCTATTCATTACGCATTCAATTTGAGCGAGCACCGTACTTAGCTCTTCGAAGGACAAAATTTGATCTCCTATTACTCGGTATAAGTGGCTCTTTAGACTTTTAATATTAGTCTCCCAATTGCCCCCCAAAATGACTCGCGGCTGGGACGTTCAGAGACCACTCAATGCGGTTCTCGGCCAGAATGTGAGCGAACTCCGAATTATAATACTTGCTAGCTAAGAGCTCGTGTAGTTCCGATAGAATACGTTTTGCACCGACGTAGTTCGTACCGTTATCCGAATATAATTTACTTACAGGGCCTCTGCGCGATAGAAATCTTTTAAATGCACCCATAAAGCCTGCTGTGCTTAGATCACCAACGAGTTCTATATGCACTGCTCGAGTAGTTAGACATACGAAAATGCAGACGTAAGCCTTTGTGGATCTTATACCACGCCCGCGAGTGAGCGTGACCTTAAACGGACCAGCAAAATCAGACCCGGTGTGCGTGAAGGGCTTTACCGATTGTATCACTCTACAAGATCTAAGTTCCGCCATTTCCGGAAATGACGGCTTGGGGCGTGCCCGAAAGCAAGCTATACATCTGTGCACCCGATTGCGTATTAAACTACGTGCAGAAAGAATCCAATAATTCTGACGCAAGATCGACATCAATAAATCGGGGCCAGCGTGCGAGTTCAATTTATGATGATAATCGACTAATAAGTTCATGATATGGTCTTTACGCGGTAAAACTATAGGGTGCCGTTGGTCGAAACTCAATTGCGAGTTGGACAAGCGTCCACCTACCCTTACAATCCCATCCTGTAAAAATGGCTTAAGGCGTTGAAAGGCGCGACTACAAGCTCTATTCGATTGTAATCTTGTAATTTCTTCAGAGAAGTGCGCACGTTGAAGTTCACGTAATACTAGCGACTCGGCATGGTTGTAATCGGATGCTAAGACATACGGACGTCGCGGTAAAAGCTTCGCGAATCGACAAACGTAAATTACGCTACGCAATAATTTCGACCAAGAGGACAAGCGGTTCGCCAGAGCAATGATTGGAGAAACCTCGCTCGAAACGTTCGCCACTAGAGCGTGTCTCTTCTCTTCCGGCGGTTGTGACACTGACGAAGGTTCGAAATCGGTTATTGGCCATTGTGAGGGATCCAAGTAAACCCAAGAAGGTCCATGGAACCAAAGCGGGTGGTCCATTATTTGCATCGGGGTGAGTCCCCGGGATAGACAATCGGCAGGGTTTTCCTTACCGGACACGTGATAAAAGTTCCGCGTTTCTAACTCGTCTTGGATCTTGGCCACTCGGTTCGCGACAAACGTATCCCAACGGTGGGGTGAAGAATGAACCCAACATAAGGCGACGGTGGAGTCGGAAAAGGCAAATATTCTTTCTATGTGAACTCTATCCCTACATGCGCCGATAACTGTGGTAATAAGCTTGGTGAGTACTAATATTGCGCAAAGCTCTAAGCGCGCCAGAGAGACAACCTTACGGGGGGAGACTCTCGACTTAGAACTAATGAGGCTAATCGAATTTCTACCATTATTCTGGACATGGAAATATACAACGCCCCCCGTAAGCCTTCTCGCTGGCGTCTGCAAATCCAACAACCGTTATGCTGCTATTTCTATCGACATTTATATGACGCGGTATTTTAATTTCTCTTAGTAAAGGAAGTTCCTCTCTAAAGCGCTGCCACAATCGAACAATGCTGTCAGGCGGCGAGTCATCCCAATCGCATTCAAATAACCAAAGTTGTTTAATCAAAAGCTTAGCGTATAATACCACCGGAGCTACGAAACCCATGACGTCCCATAATCTAGCAACGCATGACAGTATTGTGCGCTTTGTGCATTTCTCTACGGGCGGATTTACCTTAAGGCTAAACACGTCGGACTCTGGTGACCAACACAGACCGAGCACCTTGTGTGTATCGGAATCGTCGAATTCCTTTATCGCCGAAAGACGGTGTGATAGTGGGATTGTATCTAAAACCGGACG